GCTCTGGAGACTGAAGTCCTTCGTTTAATTACAGAACAAGTTTAACATGGGCAGCAGCAGCGCCAGCTTCCCCCCATGGCCAATCATGCCTGTTTCCAGAGGGACAAACTCCATGGCATTCATTGTGGACCTTGTAGGCTGTCCACAAGGGTTCCAGCTACTGTGGTGCATTGGTGATGTAGATGCTTAGCCACTAGGCAATGGATTTACCCACTCACGTTTCACACAAGCCACTGAATGGCCAACAGATGGCAGTAGGCCAGATCCTGAACTGCTGTAAATAAGGACAGTTCCATTGAAAACAAGGGATCTGGGTAAATAAGTTTAAATTACGCCCAGCTTTGGCTGGATTTGAACTGGTGACCTAGAAGGTGTTTATATTGCTTTACCAGTTCTCTGAGTCCCCCGTTCCCCTGGCAGCAGCCTTTTACTGTAACTGGAACAAGAGTTTAAATCAGTGATTCTCAACCTATTTATCATTGTGTTACCTGGACCACAGGTTGAGAACCACAGCGCGCCCTCCCCCCAACCCAACCCAACCCTCCCAGACCTCTATGCCTAGCACCTCCCACCCAGAGACCCCTCCACAGAGCGGAGCCAGGAGTAGAGCCCTGGGCAGGGGGCCAGGAAGCTGGGAACGCCGCCCCTGTCACATGGCCTGGTGGTCTTTAGCACACAGCTGGGCTGCAGCTGTGTGCTAATTGGGTTGCATGTGGCCCACCGGCCACGGGTTGAGAACCTCTGATTTAAATAGAGTGCACTAAAGCTAATCTGTTTATCCCACTGAAGCTACCAATTTCGGATACGTTCAGCAGGATCCATTTCAATTTCTCAGTTGGTGATATTTGTGTTACGCTGTTCAGTAAGCTTACAGGAGAACAGCTGAATCAATAAACAGTGCAGGTCGTTTCCTTAGAATGTATTGATTCACAAACTGCTTGCATCTTAAACACTCCCAAATAAAAACTTTTGCCTCATTATAAACAGTATGCACAACCTGTATTAAATGCAAAAGCATTGTTAATGCAATGTTGTTTGAACAGTTAAATACTTGAAAATCAGGAAGTGTAAAGATTTAAGCTTGAATGTGGAACCTGAACTCTGCCTTCTTGCAAATATGCAGTGGTGGTGTAGCCATGTTGGTCTCAGAATATTAGAGATAAGGATAAGGCAGGTGATGTAATATCTTTTACTGGACCACCTTCTGTTGGTGAGAGAGAGAGACACGCTTTCGAGCATACACAGTGCTCTCCCTGAGGGCTGAAGCCTCATGGAAGGAATTGCTGGCTTACGAATTCAAACCGGTTTTAAAAATTCTTTAGAGCTGGGTCAAACCCCAGATCCCAACAGCTTCACACTTTGGGGAACAGAAGATCTGGATACAAACTTTGCATCTTGCCCCTGTCTTGATGCTGAGTGGAACGAAACCCCCAGATCTGAATAGTGGAACGAAACCCCCGGATCTGAATAGCCTTTAACATTGGGGATACTAGAAAATCTAGATCTAATGTATGCCCTCCTTCCAAGCAATGGAAGGACGTGGCTGCATTTGGTAAAGGCCCCGTCAATGAGCTCCTGGAGCAATGCCCTGGCTGGAAGTTCAGCCCTGCCACCTTCCAGCTGCTGGGAAGAGGAAGGGTGTTGAGACTTTTACCAGGATGCTCTTGGATCCTCTTCTAGGGCCTTTGACTTTCACATCAGCCTCTGGTTAGTAGGTCTGATAAGTGTGAAGTTCCACCCATTGCTTGCTTATGGAAAGGAGAAGAAACTTCTCTCTCTCTCTGCCTCATGCTGCTCTTCCTCCCTTTTCCCTTCATCTGTCCATTGCCTACTTAGCTTGTAAGCTCCTCAGGGCAAAGACCTTGTCCATAAAATACCTAACACAGTCTTGATGCTATAGAGCTAAGTAATTTAAAGAGTGTTTCACTGTGGTCTCAGTCTAATTCCCACTAAAGTCAATGAAAAGTCTTCTGTCAGCTTGAAGGGATCAGGCTTTATAATGATAATAAATTCCATTGTATGTGGGAGAGACAGTGTGTCAGAGCACTCTCCTCCCCACCAAAATTATATTGGCAGGGTTGTTAGTTACTTAGACACAGTCGATGCAAGTAAAAAGCTGCAGAGAGGAAGAAAATATTCTTTAAGAAGTCACCGATGGCCAGGATTTTCTTACGAGATATGATGAGGGGAAATGATGCATATTGCAAAAATGCAGCACGACATCCATTAGGGAATGAAACCCATTTTGTATTGTTGAATAGACGTATGGAATGATGAATAGCTCCCAACTGAATACAAGGCTGTAATTTACTGGAGGGGCTCTCGCCGATGTTATAAACTGTAAAACCTCCTCTCCAGCCGTTTTTACAATAGCTGCACAATCCTGACGCTGACTTAAGTCTTTAGCAATCCATGGAGAGCTGGTGTGCAAGGCAAACGAAGCTGTTAGAATGCAAACAGGAAGAAGGAGTCCGCAGCATGGAGGAGGAAGGAATCTTACTGAGGCTTTTAGTATTCACATAATAAAGTTGTGACCCTGTAAATGGAATAATACATCGGATGATAAATTATAATAGGGCTGGAGATGGGAGTTAATAGCTCTCAATTAAACAGACAGAATGGTTGTTTTTCTCTGCAGCCACTCCTCTCCCTCGGGTATCTGATTTTTCTGAACGACTGACTGCATAGCTCAGGCTTTTCTCTGCATGTAATTTTATTGAGTCTCTTCCGGTGACTGCAGTCCTTCGTGCCGAATTCCGTTAAAGCAAGGGCTCTGACGTGATTAGGTGACCCACTGAGCAGCAGGGAAGTGTCAACTGACAGTTTCATCCTGGAACATCCACTTGCTCCTGTCATCCTGTCGGCCTAAAGTGCTGGCTCTCCTCTGAGAAGTGACTCTGTTCAAGTGGTATCTTGTGCATGTGGAGAGTCGCGTCGTCTTACTCCTGTGACTAAAATATATTTTTGCTCTTGCTGTCCCTGCAGAGCCAACCCAGCTAAGGGAGAGTGAACTGGACCCTTCTCCTCCTCGTGCATCAGCGGCAGAATTGTTAGCTCAGGACAGTTACAGGGCCAGTCAGTGAGGCTGCAAAGGAAATGTTTCAATCCTTCCTGTCACCCAGAGCCATACTCAGTGGTCATCCTTGACTCCTCCCCCTCTCTTGCCCCACACACCCAGGCCACCACCATTTCTTCCCCAGTAACATTTCTAGGATTGCCCTTTTTGTCCCAGACCACACAGCTCAAACTCTTCTCACGGTTCTTTTGGTCTCCCATGGTGACTATGGCAGCCTCCTACCCTCTGGCCTTGCTGACGCCCAATCCACGTATCCTCCTTGTCCTTTATTATGACCATGTCAGTCCCCGTTTGCAATCTTCAAACAGCTCCTCATTTCCACTGCATCATGTTCAAACCCTAAGCCCTTCACCGCCCACCTCTCCTGCTTATCAACTCTTTTCTCTTACCAAGCCACCGCACCAGTGGCCGTGCCATCCTCGCGCACCCAACTGTCCATTTCTTCCATGCTGCTCCCTATGCTTGGAACACCCTCACTGGCTTAGTCTAAAACCACTACCCTCCTCCAGACCCTTCGACTGTGATTTGTGTAGGAAACTGCCGTCTGATGTAGTCCCCTGATAGAAGACTGCTTGGTGATCTCATCTGTTGTATCCGTTTAACTAGGACTGAAATAAACACAAATACTATCATCATTTTGTCACTTCTCCACCTTGGAAAAAATCCGTCTTCCCATATTGTGTGTCTGTTTGTGGTTGGTATTCTCCGATGTGAACTAATTGAATAGGCAGCCCCTCTATTGTGTGAACGCTGCCTGCTCAGCTGTGGCCTCGATACACTCCAACTTATAGTTGCGTAATTTATTCACTCTCTGCAATAAATTGTTTGTGCTTTTGATGGATCTTTCGTGAAATATTTTAATGCATTCCTGTTGGACGTTCTATTTTTTTTCCAGTCGCTATTGATGAAAGAGAGCACTAACGCTGGCTTTACATAGGACTTTAATCACACCAGCTGTCACCCAGATCCCGGATACAAATATTTTCCACTGTTAATGGTTTCAGTGTGGTTTTTTTATATGATCAGATGTAATCTTGTCTGATTGCTACAATGCTGTATTCTTTGCAGTACTTTTTTTTTTTTTAAAGCCTGGGGAGATCATTTAGAGGAGAGCAACAGAAATGATTAAAGGGCTGGAGAGATTTATCTAGGAGGAAAGACCTAAAAGAACTGAATTAGGTATAGCTTGACTAGGCTAGGGGTGAATAACGAAGAGTCTTGGAGCGCGGGGGTCATGTTTGAAAGTGTAATCAACCAAGAAGCAGGAGGAATTGAATATGATTTCAGGGGTGTATGGCTAGGAGTAATGGGATAAATATAAAAAAGGGAAATTTTAGGATGAATATGTGGAGAAACTTCCTGAAAATGAGATGTAAGAGGATCAAATCCAATACAGGGAAGTGATGGATGCTTCATCCCACAGTATGTTTAAGATCCGACTGGACAAAGCACAGGAAAATATATTGCAAGATCAGTCCTTCACTAGCCATGGTATAGCCTAGCTGTCCTTGCAGACGTTTTTCTCGTCTCTAATTTCAGTCATTCTGTTACTTTTATAGATGATCAGGAAATTGACAGGAAACAATGAGTAAAATGTTGGGCTCAGTATAACCTCAGCTGGTGTAAATTGGCTCCATCTGACTTCGGGGGAGTTTAATCTGATTTACTGATGTGCCCCTTGATGTGGAGTAACTCCGGTGGCCAAGTGAGACAGGTTGGAATCTGTAATTCAAGGAGCTGGAATTCACTGAATTCAGTGTGGGAGCAGTAAACCTTTTTTTTTTTTTGTGAGGTACTGGGGCCTAACGGCAGTATAGAAACATGGCCTTCTAACTGCAGCTGCTGGAGTGGCTTGCCCCTGTCTCTAAAGCTATGTTATGTCAGTCTGGCAAGCGCCTAGCTATAATTGTTGTGTGTTTGTTAGGTTGTCCGCACAGAAAAGAACAGTCTGAACAACAGGTTCCTGCCATGGGATGAGATCGAGACAGAGGCCATTCTGTCTATCGACGACGATGCCCACCTTCGCCATGACGAGATCATGTTTGGGTTCCGGTGAGTGGCGTAAACTCTGTGCGTGTGTGGTTGGTTGGGGTCTTGGGGACTGGGCCGTATACAATCAAGCCATGTTCCATTCAGATCCACACTCTAAAGTGTGGTTAAAGCCAGGAACTGAAGTCAGGAGAAGTATGATTCTATTCCTGGTTCTGCTACTGATTTCCTTGGTCACTTTGACCAGAGTTTTGAAACTTGGGTGCCTAAAGTTAGACACTTAAAATTCATTTATGGCACCGAAATAATGGGCTTGTTTTTCAGAAATGCTGAGCACCTGCAGCTCTCATTGCTTTCAGCGGGCATTGCAATTGTTCAGTGCTTTGGAAAAGTCAGGCACTCTCATTTCAAAACGTTAGGCTTCACCTTTTTGAGGGCAGTTTCCCCATCTCTAATATGGAGACAGTCATATTTCCGTATTTCAGAGGGATGCGGCGGGCTTAATGACTAATCATAAAGTGCTTGGAGATCCCTGGCTGAAAGGTGCTATAAATACAAAGTCTGTATTTATTCTTAGACAGGAAAACAATGTTAAGAGAACTTTAATAGGGTTACAGAGAGTCTTGTGGCACCTTTAAGACTAACAGATGTATTGGAGCATAAGCTTTCATGGGTGAATACCCACTTCGTCAGACGCATGCGTATTCACCCATGAAAGCTTATGCTCCAATACATCTGTTAGTCTTAAAGGTGCCACAGGACTCTCTGTTGCTTTTTACAGATCCAGACTAACATGGCTACCCCTCTGATACTTAATAGGGTTACAAAGTCAAGCACACAAATGTCAGGAAATGCCACAATTAAGGTTTCCTGTGCAATTATTATAATTACATGATCACATACTGCTTTTTCCACAAGAAAAGGTCCCCGCAGTTTTTTAACGTGGACAAAATAATATATTTTTCTCTAGTCCTGTTCTCAGAAATGTCTAAACCGTTCTGGAGGAAAGTTTCAGCCCAAATAGTTTGGCAAAGTTATAAGCAACTAAAAACAGGGTCTTATAATGGGAAGTGTTGGGTAGCCTTAAAAACATCTGGTGCTACCAGCCCTACCCATCATTACTGCTATCCTCACCTGTTCAGCATTTAGATCTGACCAAAACCCCCTAAATTAAAATACTTCTAAATAACTGACTTAATGTGCCTGAATGAGTTAAGTTTAAGGTTCTTGACTGTGACAATAAAGTTTCCATTTGGGTGCTTCAGGAGTTGATAACAGGGTAGATGCCTTTTGTTCCTATGCTGCGGGGTCAAATCCAGCTCAGGTGGGAAGTGACAAAAGCTGGTGCAAACTAATGGTTGGTCAGCAGCCTCTGTGAAGTGAGTTGATGGTCTATACTGTGCCATAGTGTTCACATCTCTCATACACCCCCTCAAATTGTCCCCCTCGTTGACAAAGTCAGCAGAGTTCCTGGATTGAATGGACCAAGGGATTTAAACTCCCCCTCCCATGCTTAGAGGTTAGCCTGTCCAGGTGTGGGGCTAAGTTCCCTGTAAGCTGCGCGGCCACGCAGCAGCCTATTTAGCACCGTGCAGGCGCTCAGGGAACCTGTCTAGCCCGGACTTGTCAGGGGAGGGGCGGCCTGGACCTGCCGCAGCCAGGGGTGGGGCACACCTCCCCCGGCCCAAACCCAGCCCTGGCCTGGACCTGCCGCAGCCAGAGGTGCCTATCCTGCAGCCCCAGCCCTGGAGCTGCCACAGCGGGGAGAGGCACCTCTCCCCACCCAGCCCAGGTGCTGCTGGGGGGAGTTCTCTCTCCCCGCCATAGCCCCAGAGCACCCTCCTGTACCCCAAAACTCTCATCCCCAGCCCCACCCCAGAGCCCGCACCCCCAGCTGGAGCCTTCACACCCCTGCACCCCAACCCTCTGCCCCAGCCCTGAGCCCCTTCCCACACTCCAAACCCCTCGGCCCCACCCCATGAATTTTGTTATGTGCACCAATATGGAGGTGATGTGTCACACATCACCTCCACGTTGGTGTGTCACACATCACCTCCACGTTGGTGTACATAACAAAATTCATTCCGCACATGGGTGGGAAAAATTAGAGCGAACGCTGGTGTGGGTGTGTCTACTGTTGACATTAGCTGCATCTATTTAATTTGGTCCGTAGTGGGTGGCAGCATAAAGACGGGCAGTCCCTCTGGGACCGCTTCCATGTAGGTGCTGATGGGGAAGCTGGGCCTATGCATCAGTTGAATGGATTATCCACCGGCTGCAGGATGGCAGCTTCAATTATGAAAGCCTGAAGAAGCATGGGGGTGGTGGGGGTGACGTCGCCTTGTTTGTGCTGCTGTCAGTGGTGGTGGAATTGTCAGTTTGACATATTGCCCTGACTCAGGGAATGCGTCCTTCCCTGCCAAGTGCTGCCGGCAGTCCTCCTGAATCTCTCCCCTCGCAGATCTCTTCTGCCTCTGGCACGTTGGCTGTGGCTGTATTACATTTCACAGAACATCCTGTCATCCGCTTGTTGTTGTTATTGTCCCCGTCCCTCTCCTGCTTCAGCATCTAAACTTCCATCCGCTCTGCACTTGCAGAGGGTTTCCTGGTTGCAGAGGCAGGCGCCTGGGGTGAAGCAGTGAACTGGGGAGAGGGAGCGAGGCCAATCTCTGTTCCATCCGCTGATGGAATCTGGCTGTCAGAGCGGCTGTGGAAGCAGGTTCTAACTGAGTCTGAGCTGCCATCGTGGGAGGCTCTGGGGCTGCTCCTTCAACTTGTACAGCTAAAGTGCTCATAAATACATGCCAAGAAATGTGTTCCCAGGGCGGGGGCTGGCACAGCAGGCTAATGATGCCACTGCACGAGCTTGTGTCCCTCGCTTGGTTCTTGGTTCCTCTGGCCAGTAGGGGTTGCAGGCTGGGCAGCGGTCTCTCTTCACTAATCCAAGCGCTCAGTCAGCTAGCAGGGGGAAGGAGTTGAGCTCTCCTCTGTCCCTAGGGTGTGTTGGCATGGTGATTGGGAGGCAGGTAAAAGGGCAACGTGCCAGGAACCCTAGCAGGGTCGCTTTGGGGGGTGAAACATGAGAGTGATTAAAGCCGGGGATTGGGAGCCAGGCCTCCTGGGTAGAGGTCAGTTTGGGCCTAATCTTTAGGTCCCAACCAAACTCAAGCCCAGCTACCTGAACCTGAAAGGGTCGAGTCGTTTTCCAACCAGCCCTGACCTTTCCCGCCAAAACCCGAGTCAGCACCGCCGCTTCCTGCCCGGGGTGGGGTTGGCTCTCTTCCTGCTGCCCTGGAGTTGGCTCGGCAGTGGCTGCATGCCCTGCTTCTGCCATCCACTGCCCCCCGCTGTGCTCCGGCGTGAGAGGCACGCTGACGCTTCGGTACACTCACTGCGCAGTGCATGCCGCGCAGCAAGGTGGCGGTGGCCAGCAGGAGTGGGGTTCACGCAGCCACTGCCACACCGATCCCATGGATGTGGGGATGAGAGCCAGCTTTCCCAGACCCAACAGTTGTAGTCGGATGCTAACGGGTTTGGGTCAGGTTTCAGGGCTCTATTCCAAACTCTGCCACTGACCTGCTGTGTGATCTTAGATAACTCACTTTCCCTCAGCAGGTCTCGTTTTCCCTAGCTGTAAAACAGGGACGATGCTTATCTGCCTTACAACAGTACCTCATTAAAGCCTTGTTGATTAATGCTTGAGTGCCTTGAATGTAAGTTCATGGTGTTATAGTTCCCATCCCTCCTAAAAACACACATCTCCTGCAAAGGCTGCCGGTGTTAATCCACCAGAGAGAGAGAGTGTGCGCTGAAAGTAAAAGATATCATTGCCTCATAACCAGTGCCCAGTAATTGTACTACTTGTCTAAACTGCAATGGATACCCCAGATTATAAATTCTTAGGGCTAAGGACTGCGCCTTCCTCCACATAGTGTTCAGTAGGAAGCACGCAAATGGCAATTGTGTATATAATAAGCTAAGCTCCAGTGAACCCCTTAAAGGAATAAATATTAGACAGTTGTCTAAAGCCAAAGAATCCTTGATTTCCAGGGCTTGACTCCTGCTTGGGGGAAAAGCACCCCGGTAATGCAGAAATAGAGAAGTTGGAATAAGTTAATAAGGGCATGAATAGTTCCTGCTCCAACTATTAAAAACTAAGTCATGTCGGATTAATAAAATCCTGCAAAAGTAACTGCCTGGTGGAAGGAGTGTGACCAGAAAGACAGCTTTAATTATTCATGTCTTCATTACCAGGTTATATTGGATTTCCATTAATTTAATTAGCCATGTTTACAATTAAAGCATCTTTGCCTCTTACTGTACTGGTAAACGTAATGACTGCCCAGGAGGCTTTGGCAGTGTCTCTGTTAGCACATCTGCTATTGCCCTGCAGCAATGATCTCTGTAACTCCCATCCTGACAAGGGAATATTGCGGGGGTGGGAACACTTGTACAATACACAGCAGAAGAAAATTAACATGTGTGGCCACATTGTGCTCCTAGGATGAAGGGAAAGCCCCTTTTTGCATTCAACAGAGACACGTTCTACCTAGACCAGAGGCACCAAGTTCCAGTTTGAAATATGTAATTTAGACTCTAACCGTTAACTAGACAAGATCAAATGACCCGAAAAGAGCCAAGCAGCCCTGCAACATAAAGCCAGGCTTATTTCCCAGGTTAGACATCGCACGCTGATGTTTTCCTTAATTATTCCTGACAGTTTTCCAATAATCCAGAGAGAGTCCTCCTGGGGGGAGAGAGGTTCAAATGAGACTGGAATATTAAGTGCTTGCTTTCTCATATGTGACCGTCACCATTTAATCACATAAGGCTCATTCATGACCTCTCTTATGTGACTGTGCAAGGGAGAAAGGGGGTGTGAAGAGACCCCTTCCTCCCCTGCATGGTGAACCCACATGGCCAGAGGGAAGGAGTGGAGAGCAGATCCTGCCCCGCTGTTGTGCACACTCCTGCACGGCTGGGTGGGGAGTTGACAAAGCTCCAGTTTCTGTGGTGATAAATAACAATACTTAGCTATGGTGCAGCACCTCCCATCTGCTAATATCCTGGTGTTTTTAGTGACTTTAGCCTTCCCCCACCCCCTGGAGAGAGGTCAGCGTTAGCTTCCTCATCTGTCTAGTGAGGGTGAGACCTGGGGTGACCTGTTCAAGTTCACACAGAGGGGGTCTGTAGCAGAGCCGGGGACTCCCAGCCCTGTGCCTCAGCCACACACACGTGACCTTGACCCTCTCAGGGGAGAACATTTAGGAACAAAAATAGCTGAAATGTTGATTTTATTTAATTTTTCATCCTGGGTTGATAAAACATCTTGACGTGAGTGATCTATGTTATGGTGGGGGCTTGGTAGCAAACAAAACCATTTCTGTTATAACCGGCTTTTCCTTGCCCATAACTTTCTGCACATTTCATTTGGCTTTTTCGTTTTCCGTGCTTTCTCTTGTCCAGAAGGGACTTAGGGAGGTTGTTTTTTGTGTTGAAGTCTGGAAATTCTCCTGCGTCATTTACAAGTTAGGCGAGGTGGAAAAAAATATTCTTTCCATATGGAAAATCAAACCAACCCAGCCTCTTGCCCTGCTTGGAAAGGGCTGGATTGAGAAGCTTGTAAGTACCAGTACTGCTGGTACTGGAGAGCATTCATGGCCGAGCTTGGAAAAGTTGGTTGGATGATGATAAACTTGTATGTGATTGAAAGATCAGTTTTGAATGAGCTCAGAGTACAGCCAGTACCGTTATGTGTTAGATGTTCTTTGTAAAGCACTTTGAGATCCTTGGGGCCAAAGGAATTTTAGCCAGGGCCACTGTCTGTGGAGATTGCTCCGTGTAGTGTATCACCAGAGTTTCTTTAGCGTTTAGAGCTGAATCTGGAAGCCAGGAGCCTTGGCATTCAGTTTACAGCCCTGTTATGTGATCTCGGGCGTGTTTCGTAGGATGGGATTTCCGAAAAGAGCTCAGCATTACATAACTCTGCTCCCACTGCAGTCCGTGCTAAAACTCCCATAGACTCCAATGGAAGCAGGGTTAGACCGATGCTGCTTGTCCTTGAAAATTCCACCCTTAACCTCTGGATGCATCCGTTTTTGAATCTGTAAAATGGGGATAACGGGTGAACTCCTGGCCTAACTGGAGTTTTGCCATTGACTGCGGTGGGGCCAGGATTTCGCCGAGTGCTTATTTCGTGGGGTTGTTTTATGGCCTGGGGATCCTTGGCTGACCATCCATACCTTCATTATTAGGTAGAGCCACACTACAGTTGTGGGTTGTCGTTCTTTTCACAGTTTGAGCATGCTGTGGTCTTACTCCACTGAAGTTCTCTCTTTACATTTGCAGAGTCTGGAGAGAGGCAAGGGACCGCATTGTTGGATTCCCTGGGCGATACCATGCGTGGGACATCCCCCATCAATCCTGGCTCTATAACTCGAACTACTCTTGTGAACTGTCCATGGTGCTGACTGGTGCTGCCTTCTTTCATAAGGTAAGAGCAAGCGGTCAGAGAGAACCCAGTCTCAGTTCTCCTTGGCCAGCTCTCCGCTTTGCTTTTCCTTTTCAGAGTAGCCTGAGTTTTCGATTAAAGAAACTAGTGCCAGAATTGACCATTCCTTCTCTCTTGCATCTCTCAACATAAGCTTCATTAATCACCGCAAACCGAAGCCCTGCTGAGGAAAGGTTAATATCCGTGTCCCGGGAGATGCAGCTCATTTGAGGAAAGCTGCATAGAATGGCTCTGAGCTGAGGGAGAGAGACTGAGCATGTGGAGGGGCAGGGCTGGGAGCCAGGACTCCTGGGTTCTCCCCCCAGCTCTGGGAGGGGAGGTGGGGGAGGAGCAGGGCTGGGAGCCAGGATTCCTGGGTTCTCCCCCCAGCTCTGGGAGGGGAGTGAGGGAGGGGCAGGGCTGGGAGATGATTCAGTTGCAGCAATTCTCTTAGACGCTGTGATGCCAGCCATCAAAGTGTTCGGGTCTTCTCTGGGTTGGCTTAGTAATTTGTTAGTGCTCTGACCTGCCAGGCAGGAGTCTGGGTTCAGATGCCCAGCCCTGGATTGTTGCTCCCAGTCCTTAGGAACCTGAGGAGTGTCCATAAGGGCTCACTGCTGTGACACCAACAACAATAGCTTACACACCTGTGTACTCAGCACCCTTTGCAATGGTGCCAAAAGGCATTTCACGAATGAAAAAATAAGGTTGAAAGCTCCTAAATCACATTGGTTGTAATGGGCCTTAGGATTCCAAATCCCTTAGGCAGCTTGGAAATCACAGCCCCAGGTTCGCCCAGTGAAGAACAGCTAAAATTGGCAGCAACCCTATTTTTATGCATCCTGAGTGTGGCCAGGGGTAATAGGGTCACCACAGAAACTCTGGCTCCTGCGGTTACCAGATGTAAAAGAATCCTGAAGTGGGCTCAGAAGGTAGAAAGGTGATGGTTCCGTTGATTTGTATCCGAGGCTACTGTTATAAAAAGAGGGGAGGTTGGGACCAGGTGCCAAGAGCTCCATCAGGTGTTCAGAGCCTTCTTCCTTCCTCCCAATCTGGGGAAGACGGTGGAGAACAAAGAGACTATTTGTATCCTTTTGGGACAATGAGGGGCTAAAGGGTTCATCCTGAGCCATCATCCCTTGCTGGGGAGGGACCAAGATGCAGCAGAAACATTGTGTAGACTGACCAGCAAGATCTGAGGTGGCCATGTATGTCCAGATTGCCATAGAGTGGGGTCCAGGAGCTGCAGGTCTGTAATGGCAGCCATGGGGTGGCTTCGCGGCTACCCCATGAGTGAATGGAGCAGAACTTGTCTTAGAGATAAATCCTACCCCCAGCATTGTTCTGGGGAGCCTTTCCATTGACTTCAATGGGCTTTGGGTGAGGCCCATAGTTAGTATCTCACTAGCTGTCTTGGGTCTGTTTTACTGTTGAATGTTTGTTTGTTTCAGTACTACGCCTACCTGTATTCTTACGTGATGCCACAAGCCATCCGTGACATGGTAGACGAATACATCAACTGTGAGGATATTGCCATGAACTTTCTAGTCTCTCACATCACAAGGAAACCACCCATCAAGGTAAAGCAGTAGATGGGAACCTCGTACAGTGCTTCTGATTTCAGGAGAAATAGTTATTTATTCTGATCTGTTAGAAATGCACCTATCTTAGCTCTATGCATCTGGGCCCGGGGACTAACGTATCCAATAGTGAGAGTGAGACAGCCAGCCCCAAGGGACTTTCCACTGAATAAGGGAAACCAAACTTGCCCAGAATCCATCCCTTGCACAAAACCCTTCATAAATAGATGCACCTTGCAGCATGCAGTAGGGGTAGTCAAACTGGCTAGAACAGATCAGTGAGAAGCCACGCCTCAAGTCCCCTAGAGCTGGGGGACTGTTTGCACGTCTCCCAACTGCTCTCCACTGTAGGAACAGTTTGTCTCTGACACTGGCAGGATCCAGACCAGGGAGGGCTCAAGGGATCAGAGTCAATAGCTTTAATCCACTTCCTTCCCGAGAGACTCGATATGTGGTCTTGCACCTTCCTTTAAATTACAGGCACAAGCAGGGGATGCAATTCCTTGTTGTTGTTAGGGCCTGTGGAGTCCTGTATTGCCTTTAGGCCCATTTCTGCACCAAGCGCTGTATGTTCTGCCATCACAGACCATCTGCAGTGGAGCGTGTCTCTGCGGAGCCTCTGGTGGCTTCTTCCTGTCTCATGATCCTAGGGTCTCGTTCTCCACTCGGGTGGAGAGAGGTAATGAGGCTACTGGGACCTGATTCCACTGTAGCAAAGTCCCAGAAAACAATGGGCCCTGCCCCTTGTGTAAGAGCGTTGGGTGTTCAAATTGAGACACATTAAAGGGGACGGATTTTCAGAGGGGGAAGGGGTGCTCAGCACTTTCTGAAAATCAGATGTTTCGTGATATCTCAGGTTGAGCACCCCAAAACAGAGGCACTCAAGATCACTAATTCCTCCTGAAAATGTAAGCATGTGTCTGCAGTCCCCAAAGGAGCAGAGTCTACCCCAGAGAGTGTCAGTCTCAGTTCAGCCATCCGTCTCCCTTTGGGTTCAGTACCTATTGTTGTGGAAAATTGTCCACACTGTTGATTTTTGATCAGACAGCCTGAGGTTCCTTTATTGATCAATCAAACATGCATGCATGGGGGAGTCAGCCAAGGCAGCCGAACCCCCCCGACAGATAAAATGCGAGAGATTATATAGGATAAAACCACAAAAAT